GCGACGAAGGGCTCTACGAGTAAATTAACCCATAGATACAGCTTACTGAGTTTCTCGCCGGATCTTCTCAGTGGGTGGCGTTTCCGATAGATTCTGCGAAGCACTGCTCTTGCTAGGGCCAGTGTTAGCAACACTCCCAGTTCGAGCCCCGTGAGCTCGCCTACAAGATGTGTAGGAGCTGATATAGCCTCTCAAGGCTATCAGCATAGGTAGGAAAAAAAAACCAAAACTATACGACAATCAGTCTTATTAGATTTACCTTGACGATTTTGTATACATGTTGTATTTAATATTTATTATAGTTATTTACGGAACTTGCTTCCTGACATGCTGGCGTTGTAGTATGACTATTTAAGACTCATTTAAAACACTGAACGCTAATGTTATTATTTATATATCCCATATACGGTGCTATAATATCATTTATGAAAATTATGTAATTTTTCAGGAGAAGCGTTGGAAAATTCAACATCTTAATCACTACATAGTAAAAAACCACAGAAAACAAAATCGCTTTCTCTGTCCCTATATCCCTATGTATGCTTAAATCTTTAAAACTATGCAACGGATTTTGATGCGGTTTTGAAGAGGAAGGTTTATATGTATAATAACATCCATTTAATAGTGGAGAAATCAATAATAAATTACAGTTTCCGAAGCGAAGTGAGGGCGGGTCGCTAGTACAATTATATATTTCTTCTCGGCTAAAGAAATAAAATGATATTTAAACTACAACTTTCCACGTTATTATTAAAAGCAAACATCCCACAAATAACTATTAAAAAATGGATTTTCTCAAACTCGGTTCAGTTTTAACAAGAACCGCATAAGCAACGTTATAGAGCCGTATGCATGTGCGATATATTATTCGCTCTATCGCTATAGATATTAACTTTAAAAACGAACATTTAATGGCGGCGAAGTGGCTAGTTGTACTCGCCTTCAGCCTCTTGCAGTTTGAACGGAATACATGAACAATGGTCTGGTTTTATTTCATGTATTTGTCCGGTCAGTTTCACGAAGCACTTGCATACGTTTTTTTTTATTGCTTAGATGTGTGGACGAGCTCACAGCCCATTTGGTATTAAGTGGTTACTGGAGCCCATAGACATCTACAGCGTAAATGCGCCACCCACCTAGAGATGTAAGTTCTAAAGGTCTCAGTATAATTACAACGGTTGCCTCACCCTTCAAACCGAAACGCATTACTGCTTCACGCCAGATATAGGCGGGGTGGTGGTACCTACCTGTGCGGATTCAAGAGGTCCTACCACCAATGAAAAGGATAATATAAACCAGCGTATAAACACATCACGCTTTTATATACAAAACTAATTGACAATTACTATTACTGTACATTTATTAATACTGGCTGGTAATAAAATTAATTGACAATAATACTGACTGTTAAACTTCAGGTGCATTTGATGCAGTGTGGAGCTGCGCTTAGTCGTGTGCAAGTACTTGGATACTAGTACAAGTACTAGCACGCAACAGTAGTTTGTGCAAGTTCTTACGAACTCTTTCTATGGTTTCTATTATTCACGTTGATTCACGTTGTAATTTTTAAATTTTTTTTTATTGCTTAAATGGTTGGACGAGCTCGTGTTAAGTGATTACCGGAGCCCATAGACATCAACACCGCCACCCACCTTGAGATATGAGTTTGAAGGTCTCACTTTTAACAGTATAACGGCTTCACGGCAGAAATAGGCAGAGTGGTGGTACCTACCCGTGCGGACAAGTAGTCCTACCATTTAATTTGTGCTGACATTTTGTAATGTTTTTATATCCTGCCATTTAAAATGCGAAGGAATATCAATTCATTTTCTTCTGTGAGTTAATAAAAATACCATGTCCCGTCGTAATCCCTCCTATCTCCGCCGTACTAAGATAAGCCTATGAAAAATGGCGTACGTGTGTTAGAGGACGCGTAATGGAAATGTAGGGATCAAAATTGTGGTCACCTAAGGGCTTTTGGTTTTAGGACGAAGGCAAAAGAAATGGGATAGGCGAAAGGATCCTTGAATATATTTTCAAAATGGAACTATTGATATCTGGCGACGCCTCTATTTTTTTCTACCTATTCTAGTAACTTTGAGGGGTTATTCTAGATTCACCGAACTAGTAGGTGAGCTCTTGGGGCTAAAACCGGGAGTGTTGCTAACACTGGCCTTAGCAAGAGCAGTGCTTCGCAGAATCTACTACCGGATCGGAAACGCGACCCACTGAGAAGATCCGGCGAGAAACTCAGTGGGCTGTGTCTATGAGTCAATTTACTCGTCGAGCCCTTCGTCGCAAGCGATGGGTTCGGCGAGGACGGTGACCGATGCTTGATGTACCTAAAACCACCGTTAGTGGATCGGGAGGATCCGTAATGATGTGTTTAGGGCGACGTCGACTGTATACCATTCGGTCCACCGAAACGGGTATGTCAACGCCTCCAAACAACCATTGCCACTATCGCGCGAAATAAGTTGATTTGCTGAAATCATTTGTACGTCATTTGTTGTTCACTAATGGTACCACGAAAAAACTTTCATAAAATGCTGGACGTAATTTTACGAATACATCATTTAAACTATTCTTTTTATATACCAGATTTGAAGGTCACGGTCCAAACCAAGACAGAGCCTATAGCCAGTCCAATAGCAGCCATTAATCATGAGTGTCAACAATAATAGGGTCAATGCAAGTGTCGTAGGTTTGAAGAAGAACCTATCACTGCGACTAAACCGTAGGATACATCAAATTCTGACCTAACTTTAAGTTTTCTTGTAGTTTTTGCAGCGTGATCAAAAAGGCTTTTATGTGTAAGCAAATAAAAGCTAGAATAATTGTACAGATTCAGCAAGAGACGGTCGCCGGAGAGTTATTGTCGGTACGTGACCAGAATGAACAGTCGTACGAAACGACAGACTGTACAGACACAGGTCACGTTGTACAGATTAACGTTCGAAACCTTTTTTTGTTTATTTCAATTACAAGTCGAGTAATCTACTTCTTTGGTAAATGAAACTACATTAAAAATAGAGTTATTAAAGAATAGAATTTAAGCAACAAATTAAACTTTTTTCTTGTTTTCAAGGACGGGGTAATTTGTATTACGCAAACCTTGTCGGCTTTAGTTTTTATACAATTTTTTTTTTTATTGCTTAGGTGGGTGGACTAGCTCACAGCCCACCTGGTGTTAAGTGGTTACTGGAGCCCATAGACATCTACAACGTAAATGAGTCACCCACCTTGAGATATAAGTTGGAAGGTCTCAAGTATAGTTACAACGGCTGCCCCACCCTTCAAACCGAAACGCATTACTGCTTCACGGCAGAAATAAGCAGGGTGGTGGTACCTTCCAGCGCGGACTCTCAAGAGGTCCTACCACCAGTAAATTCTATTCACTACTATTCTTTCATCCTGGAACTATTGGGTAAACGAATTCATTTAATTTAGGCTGAACTTAGCAGAGTGCTCCTGATATGTGCTTTTTTATAATTGACACATTTAATGTGAAGCAATGGCACCGGTTTTGTATTTTTTTTAAATTAAATGATTAAGCGGTACATTATATCTTGCGCGTGCAGCAATATTGGCATTAAATACTTGCTTCGTACCATCTAGCTTACTTGTTTTACTTGACAGACCGCGTTCAAGGTATACAAGCCAAAAAAATCGGGAACCTCTGATTTAAACAGAAAAAAAAAGGAATCTTGAAAAAGCTGCACTGAACATTGTTGAGGAAATTCCTCTCTTCTTCATTGTTATTCAGTCCTCGTCCACGTATCCCTAATTCGGGATAGGTTGAGTTGCCCCCTTCAGTGGCACGATATGCGATTCGTTTCACGACCGACCCGCAACCGTTGGTAATGCTCGCAACCTGTGAACCAATCACTGATTATTCGACTGTCTGGTTTTTTTTCAGAATATTTTATATTGAACAATTGACGACTACTGTATGTTTTTCTTCGATTAGTCCCCCTCCTGGCGTAGTTTTCCTCATTACTGAGGGTCGTGACTCCCCCTCTGCATCAGTTTCTCCCGTATGATTTCCCTCCATCTGCTGCGATCCTTAGCTTCATAAAGGGCATTGTGGAAGTTGATGTTTAGAGAAGATCTTATTTGGTCCGACCATCTTGTGGGACTGCGTCCTCTGGGACGTTTGCCATCTATCTTGCCCGTCACCATCGGCTGTTCTAGATTGTGACCCTCTTTACGAGCAATATGTCTGAAGAGTTCCAGCACCCTTCGATTAGCAAGCAGGGGTAATTTTATCAATTTATACTGCTACTGCCACCTTTCTATCTATTTCCACCGCGAATCAGTGGTGCGTTACCTGGTAAAGGACGGAACAATACAATAGAGACGTCTACTTCACGACCCGAAGTTCGTAGTGACATTTACAATAATCTGTGAGTTGCAGTAATAAATATTACTACTTTCTATAAAAGTAAAACTGAATACATACTAGAAAAGTCAGTTGTGACTTAGTTTTAATGGTTCTAATATTCACAAGCGTTAATAATTTGTTTACGATTGTTCCCTTGCAAAAACTTTTAATCGGCTCAGGAACTTCATATACCTATCCAATACAGGCGAATTAAAGTAGACGCTTAAATGTATACCCACCTAGAAGGATCAGCTCGGGACTTAAGCATGTTTGCCATTAGGTAAACGAAATCTACACTGTGTGGATTTTCCTTTCTTCTGGGCTAGAATCTTTTTTTTTTCTCCTACCTATGCTGATAGCCTTGAGACGCTATTTCAACTTCACCCTAACGTGTGTAGGTGTGCTCACGGGGCTTAAATTGGAGGGTTGTTAACACTGACCCTAGCAAGAGCAGTGCTTCGCAAAATCTACCACCGGATCGGAAACGCGACCCACTGAGAAGATCCGACGAGAAACTCAGTGGGCTGTGTCTATGAGCGAATTAACCCATAGACACAGCCCACTGAGTTTCTGGATAGTGATCATATGTATTTTAATGTTCAAATTTTGCTCACAGGTGCTCACGTGAACCCGGCAGTATCGGCAGCACTGTGCATCCGAAGGCACGTGTCTCCGCTCCGAGCCGCGTTGTACGTCATGGCACAGTGCGGAGGTGCGATCGCAGGAGCGGCCGCCATTTACGGGTAAGTTATCTGAATTTACAAAATAAAGCGACCTCCGTGAGGGACAATAATACAAACAGCCCACTGAGTTTCTCGCCGGATCTTCTCAGTGGGTCGCGTTTCCGATCCGGTAGTAGATTCTGCGAAGCACGGCTCTTGCTAGGGTTCGTGTTAGCAACATTGTCAGGTTTGAGCTCCGTGAGCTCACCTACTAGTTAAGGTTACGCTGAAATGGTCTCTCAAGACCATCAGCTTAGGTAAAAAAAAAAGCTATAACAATATCTCTGTTATTGTTTACGCTACCACCACTTAAGCTAACAAAAAAACATTGACTTAATAACTGTTTTGAGTGTGTCTAAAACAGTATTCGTTGTGCCGAACTGAATTACCTGTATAGTTTTACACACGTTCACTAGCAATAGTTTCAATTTTGAGTCAAGGTTTGCGTCAATTACGGGAAATAACAGTACGGCTTGTATGTGTGAGTAAATATTTCGGGGGAAAATGTTCAACCGGGACCGCCTCTTTATGTTTCCGGGATTTAAACTAAAATACACGTTTTTCATCTGATCCCAAACAAGTGAAATCTCTCTGCTATTGTTTCAGTGAGTACTCGTACTGTTTAGATTGATCACAATCAATTTATTGCGGAGGCCTTGCTCGAGATTTTAGCTGGCTAATTGATTGGATTCTGTTACCGTAACCAGTTATTCCTCGTTGAAACTATATTTACTTTTAGTTTTGTTTTTGGTGAATGCTGTAGAAAGAGTTGGGCAACGTGAACACTGTAGAAGAATTTCCGGTCACATTGATGGTGGGTGATTAATACCACCTTAGTTGATCCTGTTTGAAAAAGATTTTCAGTTATTCAAGCCTTATTTTTTTTCCTATCTCTGCTGATAGCCTTGAGAGGCTATATCAGCGTTACCCTAGGGTGTAGATGAGTTCTCGGGGTTCAAACCGGAGGCGTTGTTAACACTGGCCCTAGCAAGAGCAGTGCTTTGCAGAATCACGCGGACTGGGGTGTACTGCGCGTACGAACGCAATTGTGTGGCTAAACTATTTAAATCATATCCGATTCAGGCGACAGATGTTTCGGCGAGGAACCTAACTCATAGACACAGCCCATTGAATTTCTAGACAGATCTTCCCACTGGGTCGCGATTACGAACCGGTAGTAGATTCTGCGAAGCACTACTCTTGCTAAAGCCAGTGTTGGCTAATTCTCTTAGCCTGAGTCCCGTGAGTTCACTTACCAGTCACTGCGTAGATAGAATAGCCTCTTAGGCTACCAGCAAAGGTAGGGAATAAGAAATTAAATACCATTACGACCTTATCGTGACATACTAAGTAATCAGTACTAAGTAATAACGAGTATTTCAAAAAGGCATATCCATTCTAATTTTAAACGATATAATCTAGGCTTCTCGCCTCTCAGTCTGGTTTACCATCGTATCGTCTGAATCATATAAACCTAAATACCAGACCATAAACAGCATGCAGTAATCAGGGGACAGGTGTCCACACAGCTGCCATCGAGCTAACGGATGTTCCACGTGTTCCGACCTTACGAGGGAACATCATTCTGTCACACTTGAGTCCATTATCTCAGCTTGCGGTATTAGCTGGTTTTGAGAGTTGCTCACTATCTAATTTTGTTAACAACCCGAAAGCAATGAGGTGTGTAATAAGGGAATCACGAGGCCGTTTCCGTAGCCGAAACTGGATTATTCAATTATAAATATAAAGGAACAGTATTAACTATAATTACAAATGAAACCGAAAACGCAACACATTGATTAAAAGACATTTATTATAAACTAGCGGCCCGCTCCGGCTCCGCTCGGGTCTTTAACAAAAATTTCAACGATATTTGACGTTGTTTTATTTTTAAAAATAAAAGAACGCTTATTGCGGCATAATTATAATAGTTACACATATGCTGCGCGACATTTTTTGTAAATAATAATGTGTTCTACAAAGTCGTAAGACATTATTTTATTCTATCATCAATAGTTTTCGCAGGGCACGCGATATAAAGAATATTTTAGGAAATTTTTGTACACCTTGGGTTATATTATTGGAGTTTTAGTAAGGATTCCTAATTTTTTTCAAAAAAGATTATAGCCTATGTCACTCGGAAATAGTGTAGCTTCCAAATAGTGAAAGAATTTTTCAAATCGGTTCATTAGTTTCGGAGCCTATTCAATACAAACAAACAAACACACAAATCTTTCCTCTTTATAATATTAGTATAGATAGGCAAAGTCAAAATAGCTTTGTAGTTTTATCTCCACTGTTTGTCAACCGATTTTTTTATTACCAGCTTTAGTGATACTTCGCCTTTAAAACGGTTTCATCCAACCTTTACAAAAGAGCACGTCAAAAACAAAACAAAAAAGGAAACTTAATACTTGGAGTGAATCTAAATCTTGAGTCGTTAGTGATTATGGTCTAATTTCGAGTATTGGGCGAACATTAGTAATCAATTTCTTGTCGTTTTAATGACTTTTCTTTGTGAACCCCTAATGTCCTTAGATATATCGTTTTTTTTCTCCCCTACTTATTCATTAGTAGCCTAAGGGGTTATTCCTGCTACGTCCGGGCGGGTAGGTGGGCTCACGGTCTCAACCTGAGAGAATTTGCTAACACTAGCCCTAGCAAGAGCAATGCTTCGCAGAATCTACCCCAGATCGGAATCGCGACCCACTGAGAAGATCTGGCGAGAAACTCAGTGGGCTGTGTCTATGGATTAGTTCGCTCTTCGACGAGCTCGACGAGGACGGTAACCGGTGCTTGAGAAGCCTAAAAGCACCGAGAGTGAATCCGGGGGATCCGACAAGACATGTTTCGGGCGATGGCGGCTTTGCTTTGCCGCGTCATGGTCGGATAAGAGACAGATAGTATGGGTAGATTATTCCAAACACATAAAACACATTCAGTGTAAAGTCATTTGTTGAATGGGTGTTTGCACGATTACGATTAAAATGGCGTTAAATGGTTACTGGAGCTCTTAGGGATCACAATGGGAATGCCGTCACCCATCTTGTGACATAAGATCGAAATCTTTGTTGCATTGTATAGCGGTTGTCCCACTCTTTCAACAATAGCCAAGGCAAGATGGTGGTACATATCCGTGAGGGGTCCCAAATACCACCAGTCCCATTACGTAATTTTATAATTTTCCTGTTACGCCTTCATCTTGAAGTTCATCGAAGGATTCTGTTTGAAAAATATATTGTTTTAACTAAATTCTATATTATTGCATCCAGTGTATGAAACTCAATATTTTGAATTATAAATTCTGCCATTGTAAGAAATGACCCCTCCTAAGAAATTACTTAGAATTGACAATAACAATGACAATATTGTTGCGTTTATTGATCGATACGGTTGTCGCGGAGGGCTTTTGTAACAGAACTTACCTGGTGCAGAACAAGGGTTCGTGAAACGCTTCCTTTAGTAGGGTTGAACGGGCGATAAAATAAATCGAATATCAAAACAATACTAGAGGTCCCGCAGTAGTCGAAATTCGACTATAATTAATTGGAATGCTAAGTTTGTACACTATTATGATTGTATTTTTACTTCTCTAATCACAAATTTCGCCAAGACTACACTATAAAAAATATTAACAAAGACAAACAATATTTAATCTATTCTCAATTTGACAACAGACGTCAAGAACAAAAGTTTGACAATAAATAGTATGCATGCGTGTGTGCGTCAAATACGTGGTATGTAGTGTTTGTAATGTTTTCTTTATTGATTTAATGTATCTTTTACACATTATTTAAAAAAAATATTAGCATTGTGCACTTCTTCTCTATATTCTCTATAAGTGTGGAAAATTTAATACTTCTCCGTCCGTGCAATTTTCGTAAAAAGGGATACAAAGTTTTTGCTTCACGTATTAATATATAGATAACGTTGACTTGAAATTTTGATAGTTTTGGTGCAAACATTCGTGTTACAATAATGGAAATTCGTGAAATTTACAAGAAACTAAATGTTTACACATTAGAAATATTTTACGCCTCACTCTTTACAGAAAATATTCTTTGTTGTCTCTATTCAACAATTAAAGTACTTAGGTATTTAAATACCATTCAAAATCCACTATCAGATGATTTTTTTTTAGAAATACCACAACTTGATACGGCCGTGATAGTATAGAAAAAAACCAAGTAATGTTTATATTTATACGCAGTTTGGTAAATGGTGTAAATCATAAAATGGAAATTGGGTTGAGGTTATATACAACAATTACGTTTGGGAGAATATTGAATCGACAGATGATATTGCAATCATGCGGCAAAAAAGGCGACTACTACTTACTATCTTTTTTTTTTGGGCCGAAGTCGAACCTCCTACAAGGTCCCTGTGCCTACCACTGCCCAATTGTTTACTATGACTACTTGAATAGGAATCTAAATATTAACTGGCCTACGAATTTAAAGATATAAACAAGCGGATCTACTGCGATTCAGCAACAGCCCTAACAGTTCTATAGACATCTGACGTCACATACCTGCGCCCGCGGCTCCGCCCACTGCGTTTTTGTGCACTGATTTATAGTAAGATCACAACAAAAAGGAGTATACAATGCGTGTCTCTGGTTTCGCTTTGCACGTATAGAATTCTTTTAAAATAGTGCAGATCGATATCAGTAGGTACATGGAAGTAAATAGATTTATTTATAGTGTAATCGTAAACAGCAAATAAATAATAAATATTGGCTATCGTACTCTTCAGACCAGAACTGCTGATTTCTTCATGGCAGGGATAGTCAATACAGCGGTAACATGATATCACTAGTAGTCAAATTTGGAATTGGTGGAGATGATAATGCTAATACAAATCTTCTTCTTTGTCTCCACCTTACCCCTCTAGGTGGGGTTGACACAGCGAATTTTTCTATTCCATTCTCTTCTATCAGCAGTCATCCCAACACTCACTCCCTTCTTTCTCATATCGTCATTCACACACTCCATCCACGTCTTCTTCGGTCGACCACTCCC